ACACTGACATTACCAATACACATATCAGTACCACTGACATTACCAATACACATATCAGTACCACTGACATTACCAATACACATATCAGTACCACTGACATTACCAATACACATATCAGTACCACTGACATTACCAATACACATAGCAGTACCACTGACATTACCAACACACACATCAGTACCACTGACATCACCAACATACACCTCAGTACCACTGATATTACTAACACACACATCAGTACCACTGACATTACCAATATACACATCAGTACCACTGACATCACCAACACACACATCAGTACCACTGACATCACCAACACACATATCCGTACCACTGACATCACCAACACACACATCAGTACCACTGACATTACCAATACACACATCAGTACCACTGACATTACCAATACACACATCAGTACCACTGATATCACCAACACACACAATCACCAACACACACATCAGTACCACTGACATTACCAATACACATATTAGTACCACTGATATCACCAACATACACAGCAGTACCACTGGCATCACCAACACACACATCAGTACCACTGACATCACCAACACACACATCAGTACCACTGACATTACCAATACACACATCAGTACCACTGACATCACCAACACACACATCAGTACCACTGACATCACCAACACACACATCAGTACCACTGACATCACCAACATACACATCAGTACCACTGACATTACCAATACACACATCAGTACCACTGACATCACCAACACACACATCAGTACCACTGACATCACCAACACACATATCAGTACCACTGACATCACCAATACACATGTCAATACCACTGATATTTACACACATCAGTACCACTGTCTCTAATTGTAGATCCCCTCTACTAACACCATTTTACATACTTGACAGCTACATTGACGAATATATATGGATGTGTGCATGGTTAATAGTATAATACCATTAACACGCAAAGCGGTATCATTTATACTTGTATCATCAGCATGTTTAATACCGAGGCTTATCAGAGATTGCTGTCACCACACTGACAAAGAAAGCTCCGCCCAACTGGAAAGTCTCCAGATGGAGTCGGCCATACCAGTGGAAATATCTCCATTTCCTGCTGATAAAGTGTGGCAATCTAATTATGATGCATTACTTTGTCTTCCCTCCTGATTGATCTGGGTGGAGCTGGGGTTTTGTATGCATGTTGACAGACAGATGGGTGCCAGTACAGGGGACATGTCTAATCACAGCCTGGACTTACAGACAGTCCAGATTTCCAGCTTGATGTCAGGGAGGAGTGTTCCATCCCTGCTCCGGTGGTAAAGGAAAGATGCACAGTGGCTGCTGTCAAATTGCTCAAAAGTAATGCTGAATCCGGATCACTTGGTAGAAGCAACTTTGAGAAAGGAAAATTTCCTTACCATGTAATGAAGAAACAAGCCATGTTTAACTATGCAGTGCACTACATATTGCTCAGGTTTTATTGCCATAGTTTGTGTGTTAATGTCCTGCATCACTAGCAGGTGCTGCATGGATGAACATGATTTCTTTTCCCTGCAATGTCAGGGTGATCACCACTTTTAGTTGGTCACATTTACGAGCATGGTTTACAACCAGTGTTTGCAGATGGTCTTTGCCCTAAGGGAAATACTGGGCCCCTAGCAGCTTTCTGAAACTACACTTGCTTGCTTGTAAACAGGATATTAAAGCAAGAAAGCTGTTTATGTATTTTCATGCTTTTCTGTATGTTATGGCCGAAGAATATAGTACTTACTTTCTTGCTTCATATCAGTAGCTTTTAAGCTACAGATTCCATTCAGTAGATCATAGGCATTCAACCTAAAGTAGGAATCTGTGTTTGTTTTAACTCTTAGTTTCACTGATAGAACTCTTTAAGGCTGTCAAGGCTGTTAAGAAAAAAAATAACCCGAACTTATAGCATGCTGATTTATCAAAGATTCAACAGTTACTAATTGTGAAGGTATGATTTTAGCCTACTTAAGTAAATTGGTATGCTAACAGTCCAGTGATGATTTTTGACTGTATTGTATCCTTACTGATTAATTTGATAGTGATCAGTACATGACAGTGACAGGAGTTAATAATCTTTGTGGTAGAATCATTGCAGTTCTTATTAGAATAGAGAGAGAGGGGGGAGATAGCTTGATCAAGTGTTATAGAGACTAATCTAGATGTAGGACATGTGTCGTAAGTCCCTAACTGCTCATGTATCACATTTTCTGCAGCAATACTCATGACCATGATTCGGATCTGTCTGATTGTCAGAAGATTGCCAAACCACACATTTGCACCCTTGACGATTGCTACTGTAATTCAGTTCACATCGGCTGTGTGGGCTGTTGTATTAAAATGTAAATTTCTGTACGAATGTTGCTTTCCCCTGACAGAAAATCTTTAAAACCAATCAATTCTTCATCTGACAGCAGTGGTGGGGCTGTGACCTTTGTTATTCCGGTGGCACCCAGAAAACATGTCCAGTAAAATAACTTTGCTAAGAATTAGTAAGACTGCAGTGTACTTTTTATCGTACATTTCTGAATCAGTATTATTTATTCTACCTATGGAAAATTCTGGCACCACTACTACATTAGTAACTTTGGTAGAAAAATTTGTGTCAGGAGAGGAACCAATTGCATAGCAAATCAGATCATTAACAAAGAATACATGGGATTTTCTCAAAGGGGAGGTTGTTAGTAGGCTAATTTTGCACTTCAATCATAGTATTTCTTTGCTTTTCTTACCATCTTTACTGACGTTTTTGAAAATGTATCTTAAGGCCACGCCAATTTAATTTCTTGGTTAACGGATTTTTCTAGAAAAATAATGGAGCGGGCGGGCGAAAAAAAAATAAAAATAAAAACAGGCCTAGGCATCCTATTATGGCCCAAAATGGTACGATAGGAGCCATGAAGTCAACACACCATGCTCGTTCAAAATTTAAACAGTGAATTTTGAACTTTTAATGATACCATTGCATTAAAAGATAGAATAACTGCAACAACTAGGATGAAAAGGACTGTTTTCAACTGTTCAGGGCAAAATATGAGTAGTTTGCAGTTGATTCTAAATTTTTATTTTTATTTGCAAATCAGAAAAAAATGAAGCGGCGAATCCGTTAACCAAGAAATTAAATTGGTGTGGCCTAACTGCTATGCATATAGATTCCTTAAGATATAGTCTGCTCAGCATGTCACATCAGGATTCATGAAGTAGGGCATCTTCTGTGTGAATTTCTGAATTATACAGTAATGAAGCCAGCATGGGCTCAGAAATAAGTCTGTTGGCCTGCTTTTGTTGACACTACCTGACTTTTCCTCTTTATATTTTCCACTTTCAAGAGATACAGAAGGCAATTCGAACAATTCAGAAAAAAAAATTGCCTTCAATCCAGACTTGAATTGTCACTAGTTGAATAACGGGATAAAAATACTGTAATGAAATCTTCTGCATATTTCCTTTAGGGTGTGGAATATTTTCTTTAATTTTGGAAATATGACTGATCTATGAGGGTTTTGTAACTATCATCTTGTGTATATGGATCTTGATAGCTTTTCCCATGAAATGATTTGAGGAAATTGGGACATTGTATCCAGCTAATAAAACTAGATAACATTTATCTGATATGGACAATTTGTCATCACTTTGGGTGAGCTGTGATTCATGGGAATGGCATGCGTTATAGTGGAGGTTATTACATTCTTATGGAATTGTAACTGCCAATATGTTCAAATGTCAATGGATTTACAACTTTCAGTCAATATTGCAACCATCTAGTCTATGTTGCCTACGTGCATGCTATCACTCTAGTCAGTATTGGTACCGAGGTCAGGATGAACATAGAGACCTCTGTGTTATTAAAAAACTTGCTTAGGTCTTGAACCCTTTTCTCATGGTATGGATTTTCTCTCGACCACAACAAGATTCTTAGTGATCTGCACCAGGTGGCATTTGATTTTGGCTGATCGTGTTTGTTGCCTTAAGTACTTGTGCAGATCGATTTTCAAGCCAATAGAATTGATATCAGACCTTTAATGACATGGGTGTAGGGAGGAATGGTCCATAGACAATGCCCATATCCCAGCATATCATCCAGGAAATTTAGGACAGTACTAAATATTTACTTACAGGGTACCAATGTCTTAATATATGGTTATAAAACATTCAGTCTTAATGTCCTTCTTTTCAAACAAGATTTGGTGACATGAATTTGGATTTGTTGGTTTTCAGAATTGACTAAATAGTTTGGGCCAATTTGGAAATGAAATAATCTGAACGTTCACATAATATTTTTATGCTTGTAATATTGAATGTCCTTGTAGTAAATAAATAATTAATATGATATGATTTTTATGTAAGCACTTAACCGTATCTGATCCTAGAATAAAGAAAATGTGCAACTAACAATATTTGGTAGGGAAATTTTCAGTGATGCTAGAAGCCCTCCTGTTACTTATAAAGCATGATGAATGTCAATCATCCTTGCTGATATTTGATTGAGCTCTTTGTGTGGTTACTATACATCATGAACATGTTAGGGACAGTTGACCATGATGCCCAGAGTATTTCAAGAAATGTTTTCTGTACATTGTGCAGGTTTGGAACCTGATTCTGATGTTACTTTACAAGACAGCAGTTGTAGCATTTCACCTGGACTGTTGTGAATAGAGTTGTTCTAACATCCTACAAGTTCAAGAATACATGTACCAATTTATGGACAACACTTGCTTTCAATTTTCTCCATGACTGTTCCTGTCCAAATGTGCGAATGACCAGAAAATCACCAATTCACTCTAAATAAGATATGATTGGTTTAGAACTGTTGACAGTTTATGTACATAATAACTTGAACAAGCATGATTGTATTTACCCCGGTGTTTTTTGCTAAAATAACAAATATCATTAGAGCAGGGTGTTGAAAAGTGGCAGCTATGTTAATGGTAATTGCAATGTGATAATGGAATTTTTATTTTCATATGCAGGTCTGGTCAAGCTGGGTGTCCATTGTGTTACAGGCAAGAAAGTGGCAATCAAAATTGTGAACAGAGAGAAACTTAGTGAATCTGTACTCCAGAAGGTAAGTGGGACAGAAGACCAGTCCTATTTCTTGTCATTCAATTGCAAAGTCCGGCATTTTAGGGATAGACAATATTGCGTGTGTCCAGCAGTTTTGTTACAGAACAGGCTGTTTTATATATCATATAGATCCTTGTCGGTGGTTAGTTCTGTCACAGCCAGCTTGACTGTTTTAACTCATACATGACGCCTACAATGACTGACCACACTGTAACTGAATACATGACAAAATTGTACCATTTGAACCATACTATACACGTGATAGTGAGTTAAACAAATTCGTTCCAATATGACTGTTATAGTGCATTTCTCAGTAAACTTTCCCATACGTGTACTAGATATTGAATTAAAAAGACAACCTGATTCATCATTTAGAAGTTAGTACATTCTTGTTTTGATTGGGGCCAGTAAAGGAGGCAACGAAATATTGGTATTGGTAAAGTAGGCATGCACTCACACCTGACTTCACTATTATTGATTTGCATACAAATGATGTATGACCTGATAAATATTGTGACACAAGTGGATAAGCTTTCTTCACAAGTCAGCATATCTGGATGTACAATATAAGACATTATGTATAACATTCATGTATGTACTCAGATGTCCCAGTACCTGGAGCACACTTACATTCCCCAAGGGAAACAAATGATGTGTCCCGTAGAATATGGGTGAATGGCCTATAAAAGCAGGTGGTAATTAAAGATTCATAGTGATGGTTTGACACCCGTCAGCAAAAAATGAATGTGCCTGGCTGTTCCCCTTATCAAATGGACATGATTTATATTCTTCTGCACAGGTGTGGATATAACATATAGTACTGCTAATATACATACATATTGTGTTACTGTGCAGGACACATACTGACACATCTATTTCCTGTTCTAATATTTCTTTGACTAATTTATCAAATACCTGTTCAGTGGGTGCTGCACCAAGTTTAATTCAAGACACTGTATATGATTTAATATTCAACATGTTACAACACATGTTACTTTCAAACATCATAACTACATTTCTACTAAATGAATACTTTACTAAAATCTTTAAGAGTAAAATGTACTTGCTACCAGAAGACCTAAAATGGATAATCATTATCCTTGTAGTGATTCAGTAGAATCTCCTTTTTCTGTGATATCTTGACAGGTTTTTAAATGCCAATAATGCTGGATAGTCTAGTAATGTTTTTCTGCCAAAAGGTCAAAAGAAAAAAGACATAAGTAGGAAAACAGGTCAACATCATCACTGATATTTATGCACTGTTGTCATACATGAAATTAAGTTCTAGTGCCCTTTGGGAGTGGCCTTAGGGACATTGTATAAAACCCAGCATGAAGCATTGGATGGTCTACATTTTTGTATTAATTTTCCAGCTTATCTCTTTGTGGTCATATTATTCAGAATATATAGATTTTGAGTAAGTAGTGTTCTGCACTAAGGCTTGAATTGAAGTCATTTAAAAACATGAATTCTTTCCCTTCCTGTGTAAAATTGTGTGTAAATCACCCATTTGGGGCCCTCTCCTTTCCCTCTACAATCCATTGGAGCCCTAATAACTTACCAGTTGGCAGGAATCGTTCCACTTTGTGTAAAATCAATTTCCTTGACTACTTGGATTGAGACATTACAGAGGAGAACGCTCCTTCATATGTAACCTCATTCAGTGCATCTTCATCTTTTCCCACTTATTCCGATGGATCTTGAGCACATTTTGACAGATAAAACAATCTATCTTTCCCTGTGGGCATTTACCTTCTCTGTTTATATGATTCAAACAGACTCGGAACCATTGTCTTTAGAGGCCTGACTGCATTATATTTTCTGTCCTCGCTGATAGTGAAGGGTGAATTCAGAAAGATCACTTAGCTGTGTTTTTGTTTTTTTTGTGGCTAACCACAATCCAATGATTATGGCAAAACAACACCATTCGTATTCATGGATGGAAGTAGAATTCATCATTTCATGACGCACGTGAAGCCAACAAATGACGTAGGCACAATGGTGTGGATCACATGTTCACAATTGGGGTGGGGTCCAGAAGGTGAGAGCTGCCAGCGTCAGTTGGCTAATTATAGCTGCAGGATCAATCAGGAGCCACCGGGTCTTTGTGGTAATGACTAATTGGATGTTTTACATGCGCTACCAATTCTGCTTACATGTGAGGAGTTGTCTTTTAGTAATTTCTCCATTAGAGACAAGTCAACAATGCTATATCCCCATGGTTCCAGTGCCTGAGTATCTGTCTACCATCGAAAATATTACAGAACTGGAGAGAGGTATTCTCTGAGCAACCAAGTTGTTTTCCATTGTATGATGCACACACAGGACATTCTTGCATAAGTATATAATATATAGCTGGGATATATGAAAAGAGAAAAATGTACATGTAACTCATCAGTTCTCTCATAATGCAAGTTGAACATTGACAGGTGGCAGCCGTCGGCATGGTCTTTTCCCAGTGGCCCAATAGGGTGGTAATGCTTTATTCTCTAAAAATCTTTATCTTCAAATCTCTGGTTCATCAAAGGCTGCATTGCCTCACTTTTGATTCTTCAGGTTCGAAAATAGCTGCTGTTTTGGCGGCTTTACTATGATATCTCGACCAGTCATCTGTAAAGACTTCTCCCCCCCACATTTTGGCTGCCAACCAGTCTGTCATGTGTTGTCATTGTCATGAATAAATGAAGTGGCCGGTGGGCATCTCAGCATAACTCCATCAGACATTGGTATTCACTGCCACAACAGGAGTGTGTAGATAAGCCTCAGGAGCAGCAGGCATCTGCACACTCCATTCTCTACAGTTGATTACACCTTGTCATGGGTGATATGCTGCTTGATAAAGGTATGATAACGGCAGCTAGGGGATTGCACTATCTGCTCCATATGTCAATATACTTATCAAATATATGATTTATCATGCAGGTAGCAGTCTTTTCAGGTGTTACTGTGGCCGTAGGAATTTGCTGGCCAGTTTAACATCTTTGATGTGGTTACGCCATGTGGCAGCTTGCCAGTTAAGTGATTCAGAATTAGGTAGTATAGAACTCGAGAGCCATAAATAGGAAATTGTGTTGGGCTGTACATGTGCATTTGGCAATGGGTTTGGAGATTAGAGAATTTGGTTTGCAATGGCTTAATGGTTATATTTGTGTAATTTTAGTATTTGATATATCTCACAAATATGAGAATAAACAAATGAAGTTGTGTTATACTACCACCTGTATACATTACTATAGCAGTAGTTATAAAATCATTTTAGGGGCTGTATCATAATATATGGGAAGTCTGAATAGTAGCTCCAGGCACTTAAGTTTATTGTTCTACCTTGGGAAACTATACTGCTGGGATGACAGGAAGAAGTCATCGAGTAGTTTATAAAGATAGAAAAATTACAAAATCTAATCAGGCATACTGTGGAGGGGAGCACCCGTAGTCTAATTACACAGTGTCTTCTGTGTTTTAGTTTAAAAGTTTTAATAATAGATGCACAAGATAAGACAAAAAGGTATTGCTCATGAATATTGTACATTGTCTATGGCTTGCCAGTGGTCCTGCTCTAGATCTGTTTCAATCTTAAGAAAATGTGCCTTGAAGAATAGGTCTACATATCTACACAGTCACTGGTATAAGGGTGATGCCAAAATGTTCCATATATATATATATATATATATATAGCTGTCAAATATCTATCTGCAGCCATAAATTGAACATAGGAATCAGATTAATGTATCATAAAATTCGTAGATTTGTATCCACTTGTTTGCATGTAACTTCAGTAGTATCCACTTGTTTGTAGGTCTACACATGTAGTTGTAGAAGGCATGACTAAAGTGTCAGTACTTTTGTTATGTCAATAAAGATTTTGTTATTTTCAAAGCGTCTACGTGATTCATTGCTAAGTATAAGTTGATTGATCTATAGTCATGTATGTAGGTTAATTCTTTTGTACCATTTGTCTGTTTGTATGTCTAGTTATATAGACCTTACGAAAATTGCTGTTCTTTTATTGTGTCAATGAAGTTCTTATACATGTAATAATTCTGCTAATACTTCATTGTATTGTTTATTGTTTTCTAGGTGGAGAGGGAAATTGCCATCCTGAAACTTATAGAACATCCACATGTACTTAGGTTGTATGATGTTTATGAAAACAGAAAATACCTGTAAGTATACTTACACTTTAAATATCTAGCTATATAGGTCAATTTTACATTAATCTTGTCTGTAACCAGCAACACCAGTAATGGAAAAGGGTCAAATTTTGATCAAGAAGAGAGCAGAATACATTATTTGCCATCTGGTTGAAGGTCTCATTCATGAGTTGTTTCCATACATTAGAAACCATGCATTAATGAGTGACTTACGAGACCGTGTTCCCTATGATCCTACATTAAATCAATTGATATCTTTCATGCTATGTTGAGCACACTTACTCTACGTCTCATAAAAAAATTGCCAACGACTTCTATACACACAATCCTGTTTTATGGGAATCACAAACTGCACTTAGCAGCTGTCCGCAAGAGGCCCTCCCGCGCTGCAAACCTACGACCGCACAACTCACAACAATGGACTGTGCACGTCCGACCTAGCGCGCGGCTGCCGACAATTACGTCCTAATTTCATCAGTTACAAACAAGCTTTCACCGCTTTGACGTTTTACATCAGTTGGGATGGCTAAAGGGAAAATTCTCACCAATAAAAACACGCGTTCATACAGCCGTTTAGTTTTTGACTTGGTACTCTTTTAGGGGGTACACTCGGAGTAATACATGAATGAGACCTTAATAACCATTGATTATTAAGATTTTGGTCTAAGTGAAAGAATATGCATCCCCTAACAATCTCTGAGAAAGATTTTGTCTCACGTCACTCCGTTACCGAGCAACGGGTCAATAAAGTTGCGTCAAAATTTTGATATGAGCAGCGCCACCTGGCAGTCTGAAATAAAAGTACAACAGATATCTTAATTACCCTTATGACGTGTCGGAAACAGTGATTTATTGTGTTTTTTTTCGTTCCGTTGGGTAGATTAATGTGTTCTGTATGAAATTGTTTGTCTGTAAACCTGAATAGACAGCAAGTGATAGATCTGAACGATGCTGATCATTTGGTGTATGCTGGCAAATGAGGCGTAGCATCAGTAAGGACATTGATGTGCATGTCGCATTAGGACACGCCCATAAAAGCGAAAACATCGACATTACACAAACAACAGTAAAGCCAAACATATACACTTGCTAAAATTTGAACTCGAGGTAAGAAGAAGTAAACGACATGCTGCTGATAGTGCATCTAGCGCACTCTAAAAGTCAGCCTAGGCGGGAATGGGGAGAGGTTTACAGAGGTGACGCAAGATGCTGCTTACAAAATTCGAGGCAACTTCGGTCAAGAGTACCTTTTTCTACTAGTTGAGAAGAATAAAGGCAAAAGAGGCCAAATTGACCATAAACTATCACTCAGAAAGAAGGGGAATTCCAGACAGCGTTCTTAGAACAGAGCAAAACAGAAACTTTTCCAATGAAAGTTGAAGTAATGCTTTGGCATAATATATCCCTTCTCACCTAACTAGAAATTAACTAAATTTAGTCTGTATTTTGCAGTCTGGAAGTCTGGGGGATACAAATTCACGTCAGCTGTAGCGTTCCAGGTGTTTTCTGTTAGTTTTGGGAGGGGGGGCGGGGTAAGGATCCACCGCCCTGCAGTGGC